GACAATTCATGAGACTACAAAGTATGGAAATAAAAATGACACAGTAATATCAATAAAATGGGCATAATTCTAGGCCCAATTTTCATTAGCTACTGTTCATGTTGTGATTTGTCCTTTTGGTTTTATTTGAATTTGGATCTAAGATTCTATACCACGATAGATACGTACTGTACTTATATCCTCACAAACCTTCACAATTATTTCAGAACTCTTTAAAGTACAAGTTAGGGAGTTTGGGTCAAATACCTGGTCCATTAGATACGTTACCAAGCTCTAGGAGGAATAACTACCCCATCTGCACAGTCAATCAAAGGATCACTGGACGATGCTAGCAGCCTCGACACCCACAAGTAGTTGCCCCTAATAGATACCTAGGTACTCCCTTAACGGCTCTTATCTTTCTTTACGGAGGGAGTACATACATATACTAGGTTTGGGTTTTGTTAACTTAAAGTTAGTCACTGCTGCAATATTTAGATTGTTTTCTAATGTTCTTTTATTTTCTCTATTAATTTTTGAATATACGTAGTTGATAGTGCTTCGGTGTGGTTAAAAAGAAGATTGCTTCAACAATCGCTCATGTCAAACATCTAGGTGTATTCGGGATCTTCAAGGTCATTCTCTACCTCGCAAAAAAAGGTCATTCTCTTCCAAATCGAGAGAATAAATCTCATCGAAAAACCGAGACACGCTAGTGCTCCTCCCTAACTGATAATCCGGCGGTGGAGGTGACCGATGAGTGGTTGAAGTGGGTATTTTTTTAATCAATACATATGCAGACGCTCGTACATACGCACATATATTCAGACAAATGCACAAATGTACACAATGCTTTTATGAGCACTTTCGAGAGACTGGACCGGCATATTCGCTTCAGATTGACGAAGTCGCACACACATCTTCTTAGTCCATGGGAACATCTCTTTTCACTGAACACACATCGCCGAAAGATATGGAATAAATTCAGGAAAATACAATCACCAATGCCAGGTCTGGAACTTGAACCTGGTGGCCAGGTGGGTCGTTTTCACCACAACGAACCCCGAAAACCTTACGTTCATATAGTACTCTGACCACGTGAGCATACAGTCCATGTATAGGAAAAGGATTCTAACTAATCAATTCGTCTGCAGCCCAACCGGATGCAGTTCATGCAGGACATGGGTGCTGCCGGTTGCAGGCACGGTAACGGCGGTGTCGTTCATCGGAAGTGCAGAAGACGAGGGAGGGACCGGTTTTGATCTGGGGGCCGGGCGGCCGGCAGTTGGCCCTGCCGGAGCTTAATGCCATGTGCCTCCTTGACTGTAGCACTGCGCGGAGATCTGGACCTGAGCCTGACCAGCCGGATCTGTACGTGCCAGTTAAAGTCATGGAAGAAGCTACGTACGTACGTATAGTTATTACTACTGACAGATAAGACGATTGTGGATTGGAGCGTGCGGGTGCAGGCCACCTACTCGCTGCTGCTCATTTCAATTCGCTTCACCCCTCTCCTTTTCTGCTTCTGATTCTGGCCGGTGCTGTCTGATCCAGTTTCGGTTGCTGCTAGCTTAATTCATCCATGCATGGGCCCTTCTGGACCAGCACGACATGATATGTGCAGCCACCCCGGCTAGAGGAAGAATACTCCATTTGCCCACAGATTCAAGGAGTATTCGGTTGTTCACAATCTGCCTTTGCACGACTTTGACTATAGTTTCTACCATCACAAATAGTTATAAGAAACACAACACTAGGCACTTTTGTAGCACAAATATAGACAATGATGATGATATTATGGTTGCATAATCGACGCCATCCTTCTCCCGCGCGTGTTGGCGGCCGGCCGTGACCCAAGCTTGATGCCGTCTCTAGACCACTGAAATACCATTAGAGCGAGGGAAACATTGTTGACGCATCGACGAGAGGCCGGAGCCAGAAGATGCCAATTGCAGATCGTTGTCCTGGAGAAGAAGGCGATGAAGAGGGTACCCGGTCCATGTCCTTATGCTCATACTGGT